GTGTAATCCGCGTGGATACGGGTGTGTTTTGCGCGCGCGACGCCCGGACCGAAGGTTAGTGCAACGTGAGAACGAGGAACGTGACACTCGCGTGCCACCGGAGCACGTGGCACCTCGTAGCAACTTGAGCGTGTACTTCGCGACGCAGTGTCCACCGTGAGAATTTCCCCGGCCACGCTTCTACCCCTCGGCCACGACGCAACTGCGAGGACGACGCCGATTACATGCGAAGCGAACGGACACTAACGATCACGTTCATCTGTTTGAACCCGAGGATTTCAGTCGAAGCACCTGCTGGGTACTTGCACGAAAATTCGTACACCCTTTCATCACGAGCAGCGGGTCGAATTTCAAAGTATTCCGCGTGAAGACGGAGTCTATCAACACACGAGGCGTCGCTTAACTCTGCACTCCCATCAAAATTATCCTAAGGTGTGAAAGCGTAATAAAGTATCACACAGTGTTCGTACGACATTACACGTTGTCTTTCAAGTTTGCTCGTACGAAATCCATATAGTGTCTCCTTTGCGACAATAGTGAACGTGCAGGATACTCGGTGATAGATATTGCACTCGATACGCTGAGAGAACGCTTGCACGGGACGTTACGCGTGAAAGGATCACATGGCACGTGTTCGTGTACGGTTTATAGCGAGGGAAGTGAACTGGTCATCGTGAGATCGCGGTTAGAAACGTTTTATTCATCGCGTCGCAACGAGATTTCCGCCGTCCGTGTGTCGCGTTCGCTTCCCGTCGCGTCTGTCCGCCACAGTCCATCCCTTTCTCCTTCGCGAGCGCGAGGCCCGACGAGTGCAAGCCCTCTACTACTGTGCTCCGAACTGTGTTCGCGGTTCGTGCTACGTACCCGCTTGCCTGCCTATCCGCTCGTGCACCCTGCAACCCCCGACCGGTGCCGTTGTCCCACCCCCGCGAGAGCCCAACGTGGGATCGATATTTACGAGGTAAGATGGCTCGTCGCCTCTCTACTACGCGACTTTCAGTCGCGAGCATTCCGAACCGGTGTGTTCAGCGCCCGTATAGGTCTCCCGCTTGCACTGAGAATTTTATTACGATTTCATTCCGGAAGACATATCATCCCGGAATATTAAACATTCGAGAGATTCACGCGAGAGAGAAAGGGTTCGCTTCTCGCGCTTTTTATTCGCGAGAGCGTGGCACGTTGTAAACAAGCTTGACACGTCCGCAAATTCTTCGTCAACAGTCGCGTTAATATATAATTTTTAAATAACGAGCAGCGACGCTGAATTTTATTTAATTATTTTAATTTGCTTCAATTAGTTTCTGGCCTTTATTTTTAGCAATGACCGAGCGACTGTCCGAATATTTATTCCATTTTCGCCCCCAAAAGACAGAGTGAGCTAGTGCTAGTGTGTCGTTTGAAGAATCTGTCGTTATAATTGAAAAACTGACATCTACCTTTCATTCTCCCGGTGTTATTCGGTGAAACTGCTTAGGCATTTACGCGATTCTCAGTGCGTTGGAGGGGGGGGGGGGGGAATGGGACGCGCGAAATCCCGTTTGGTTACAAGGTGGCAGCGTGAAAATGCGGATGCGTAAATAAAGGGCGTTACGTAATCCGTCATGTTCTCTCTCGAGGCCGGCTCGCATGCTCGTGCGGTAAATATACCTAATGCAAAAGCGTGCCGACGCGCGTGCCCGCGCCGGTAACCGCGCTCTTTTGGCAGGGTTTACGCGGAGTTTACGTATTTGATCGTAAAGACGCATAAACAATTCTGGAATCTGACCAGAAACCGCAGCGTTGATCCGCGTGCCGAGCCAATGAATCCGCCAGTGAGCGCAAATTCGCGTTTTCGTTAATCGGAGCGCGAATCGCGACGAGAATGCTCTCTTCTCCTCGTACCGGTGAAAGAGGAAATCCGCGACGAACGCCGCGACAAATATTTGCACGTTGCTTGCGCAACATCAAGATATTGAAAGCCATCGGAAGTTATAATTATTTCACAAGCATTTTTTATTAAAAAATTATTCCGTTTGTTTCCTAGGAATTTTATGTTAATATCAGGAGACTATTTTTATCGAAGATATATGTAAAGCAGATATATAAATGGAAATTAGAAACGCCGGATATATAAAGATAAAATTATAAATGTTAATCAAGAGATTTTATTTGATAAAAAAGAAACATAAGTGGTCCATTGACTAGGTTAATCCGGACGATATTTTTCCTGCAAAGATAGTTTATCGTGATGCATTAACGAACCGATTTACTTCCTTGCGCAATTAATCCTTTTTTCGTTTCTTAAGCCGGCGAGCTCCGAGAAATTCTAATTGTCCAATTAGATCGCTCGTGGATTAAATAATATAGTACTCAGACACCTGAACGGTACTTATTGAAACTCGAAGTAGGACAATTATATAGAAAGAGACGACCGTATTCGTAAGGTGGTCGGGACTACTTAAACACCCTGTCCCCCTCCCCTCTTTTTCGGAACCCAATCGACACGTATTATCACCAATTCTCGGGTCAGTAACGAGCAGCTTCTACCGTTTCACGACGTAATGCAGGTAATTACTTGACCAGCGAGTGCACCGGCTCCGGTCGTTAGTCGCATTCCCGGCATTCCGACGGCCAGTATGCAACGTGTGCGCTGCGCACGGTAATATAACGTTGCGTGTCTTGTCATGCGAGAAACGCCGCGAAATCCGTCTTGATCCGCCGAGATTTAGTTCGCTGATGCCTCCGTTTAATCTCGATTTTATTTAAAGCTGCCGCCGTCCATTGTCCCCGAATTCTCCCGGTGCAGACATATGCGTGACAAATAAGGTTGATTCTCACTATCCGTCTGGATGGCGACAATGGTCGGTCGATTCTGCGCTGCAACATTTTTCATGATATTTTTATTAAATACTGCGAATATTCCAATACAGAAACATTGACACATGTTTTGACAGAATATTAAATTCCTCCTGTCTGTCACCGTCTAGACGGATAGTGAAAAACAATTTATGTCCGTTTTAAAACGTCGAATCGTGGACCCTTTTTCCTTTGTTCGAAGAATAAAGAATTCCCTCTTTCTCTCTATATATTATATGATAACAAAAGCGTGTACACGTCTCAGCAGGAGGCATTCTCGTTTCTCGAGGAACCTGACTCCGACTTTCCGACGCGGTGTTTTCGCAAGAGGGTTCCATTTTTCTCACGTTAGGCTCGATGATACACTTTTGAGAAGAGGTACACATACGACTTTTCGGGACACCCTATGCATGCGTGCGCGCGAGAGAGCGCGAAAAAGGCGATCGTTAATGTGTTTACTTTGAAAGCAGATCCAAGCTTCCACTTGCGTAACCTCCTAGGAAGCTGCACGAGCTGTGCCGCACGTCGCTCGTTCGGTAGCGCCGAAGTGCGTTATAAAAACGAAAACTACTTTCTGAACCAGCAGTTTCCGGCATCTCTCGAACCTGTTTTCTTTTTCTTCCCTTCAGCCTGATGTGTCCATCGTAAAATCACTCAGGTCTAAAAATTCCAAACGATCCTTTACTACGGTGACGAGGAAAAAATTCAGAGATATGACGTGAACAGGTGCCACACATAGTGGAAGTTATTACACAGTAACTCGTCGTCCTTATTAAGATTTCTTAATCCTCTCTACGTCTAAATTCCCACGACCGCACCAGTCTTCCCCGTCTTTTCCTCCCTCAGTCTCATAGCGACTCCTATCCTTCGCGCGTACACCCCAAAAGTTTGTCAACGCTGCGTCGCTCCCTCGCCCTGACGAAATGTCACGTGACCGAAATGTCAGCAGTGCTCTTGGCGTCATCAGGAGCGGCCGGGGGTGGGTGGCCGGCTGGGGCTCGCTCGCTCCGGATCCTCGCGGTCGGAGGGGGTGAACACGAGCTGGAATTCCGATACAGGACGCCATCGTGCGCAGCCACCGCGGCGTATGGACATCTCGTTCCCCCGTGTATTACACACGCGTGCTTCACACGTGATAAATATGCCTATATGACGAAAAATTCTGATTGGGCGAATAGCGCATCTTAGCGCAGCCTGAAAACGTAAGTAGGAAGAAAATTACCCAATCACATTCGAGAATGGACGGAACGTAATGTGCGACTATCGTGTTGAAAATCCCGACTGTGATTGATCGATTTGTCTATTACTCGAGTATCGCCAGTTTTCCGCGTACAACGCCTCTTACTTAGACACCGTCGGTATCCAGCGGAGAACAGTTCCAGATAAAGATTGCAATTTCTTAATAATAATCGCTCGTGTTTCGTATCGCGTGTCGCGTGCGCTTCGCGCATTCGCTGGGACGTCGAGGAAAAGCGTGTCACGCTGCTTCACGCCCACGCATTATGTTCGCAGTTGCTACGTCTAGCGTCCGTAGCAATTACTAATCCCTCGGGTGAATCTCGCGTATTCGCGCTGCTCTCGAGCAAAAGCGACGGTTTTCTTCGCGACGGCCGAATAATTTCGCAACTGTCCAACCGCCGCGCTTCGTGAGCGCGTATTCTCGGACCGACCGCTCGCTCGGTATTTCTCGCGCTCTCGGCCGTTAGATCTGTCCGCAGTTAATAATGGCACGACCGTTTGATTTAACGGCGTCATTAGGGGCCGCGCCTCTCTCCTTCTCTGTCTCCCCCCCCCCCCC